ACGTCAATATCTCAAAACAATAGCAAAGTGTTATGTAGATTGTGTCAAAACTGTATCAAATCACATTTATGAAAAACTAAAACATCTCCCAGGACAACTGAAACTGTGGTGTATGCGATGCCATCAACCCGAGCTCTTCCCTTTGCTTGCGGAAGTACCTGAAACCAAAATTGAAACTGTAAGCACGAAGCTTAGTGAGCTCCCCCAAACTACCACATACCATACAATACATATAAACACATACTGCGCCTTGCCCACTGCATCGGACCGAAGTCCGGAAACTGCATCGGACCGAAGTCCGGAACTAACCAGGGCATTGCCCTCTGCATCGGACCGAAGTCCGGAACTATTGAGACCTTGCCTCCTACATCGGACCAAAATCCAGAACTAACTGCATCGGACCGAAGTCCGGAACTAACTGCATCGGACCGAAGTCCGGAACTGACTGCATCGGACAGAAGTCCGGAACTACTGAACATAGCATAGCATAAACATATCAACTAGCATGAACACATAAACTGCATATTGCATCGGGCTGTAACCCGGAACACATAACACATAAATACTGTCTGAGCCACGAAGGCATCAAACATACTAAAATCTGCATCGGATCGAAGTCCGGAAACTACTACTAGCTATATGGGCCGACATTATGGCCTTAGACCCGTTCCTACTGGAAGGAAACTCACCTCGTGATCTGGCTGCTGAGTGTATGGCTCTGGAAGCTATCTGTTGCTGCTCCGGTATCTCCCCGGCTACAATTCCACAAATACACTCAATCAGATACTAATAACTGCATTGGGGTAAAATGACTCTTTTACCCCTGGCTAAAGTCAACTCTCCTGGTCAAAGTCAACTTACAGTTGACCTGACTTGCCGAGTTGGGCCGCCAACTCGCCGAGTCCCTATTCCCATTTCTCAACCCTGCTCGCTGCTACTCGTCGAGTATGGCATAAACTCGACGAGTTCCCATTCGATTCTAAAACTCAGGCTATCTGCATCCGACTCGCCGAGTTGTATGAACAACTCGACGAGTTGTTCTTGAATCTAAGAAGATTGTCTTAGACTCGCCAAGTTGTATGAACAACTCATCGAGTCCCTCCATTACTGAGTCTAACCTCCGACTCACTGAGTCCATTCTACTACTCACTAGTCCCCACTCGGAATCACTCAAAGGGGAAGGATCGTGGACTCGCGACTCGACTCGCCGAGTCCGAAGAACGACTCGCCGAGTCGCATGCATGCAGTTACTAAAAACTCGATTCTGCTCAAAACCACTGCATACAATTCATAGATCTGAGTTCCTAAGGCTGGTTTACCACGTAAAGTTTCCAACTTTACGTGTACATACGCATGAAAAAGGATATAAAGGCTAAAAAGGCACTTAGAAGAGTAGATCTAAGGCTATCATGCAAAATGGCTCCATAAAGATGATAGATCTACGTTTTTGGAACTGAAACATGGCTAGATCCGAAGGCTAAACAATCTAATATGATTTCTCTACTATGAACAAGCTAAGGAATGGATAAAATGGGCTAAATATGCTTATAAAGGAGAATCAATCATAGAAACAGAAGGAATCTGATTATTACCTCAATAAACTCTGAAATGGGTGCAAGACCTTGGATCTTCTTCTTCTCCTATGGATCTAGCCTCCTTCTTCTCTTCAAAACTTCAAGATTTACACAAGAATTGCTCAAATACTCAAGGGAATGGTTAGGGTTTTCTAAATGATGATTTGAGGGTGAAGGAGACGAGTTTGGGGGATCATATGATGGTTTAAATAGGGTGCAAACCCGGGGATTTAGGGTTTCTACCTGGCAGGCGGACTCGCCGAGTCCCGAATATGGACTCGCCGAGTCGCCGATCTGAACGCTGCTCAAGATCCCGACTCTACTCGACGAGTCGGGCAATAGACGCGCCGAGTCCCTCTGCAAACTTCTAAATAAATAATATAAAAAAAACATACCATAGACGGGTCGTTACAATTCTCCCCCACTTGACTCAGACTTCGTCCTCGAAGTCTGCTACGGCTGAATCTGCAAATAACTCTGGATAGTGCTCTCTCATCTCATCCTCAGCCTCCCACGTCCACCCAGGCCCCTTCCGGTGCTCCCACTGCACCTTCACTAGCTAAATTACCTTGTTCCTCAAGGTCTTTGTCTTCCGGTCCAGAATCACGACCGGCCTCTCAATATAATTCAAGTTGTTATCAACCTGAATATCTTCTAAGGGAACAACTGCTGACTCATCCACCAAACACTTCCTTAACTGAGACACATGGAAAGTGTTGTGAATCTGGCTAAGCTCTGCCAGAAGATCCAACCGATAAGCAACCCGACCCACCCGGGCCAAAACCCTGAAAGAACCAATGAACCTGGGGCCTAGCTTGCCCCTCTTCCGAAACCTGATGACACCCTTCCAAGGTGAGACCTTTAGAAGGACCATATTGCTTACCCGGAACTCTAAATCTGAACGCCTCCTGTCGGCGTAGCTCTTCTGCCGACTCTGCGCAGTCTGCAGTCTACTACGAACCTGCTGAATCAACTCGGTCGTCTTGAGCACCACCTCCGTGCTCCCAATAACTCGCTAACCGACCTCTCCCCAACAAATCAGGGTCCTGCACTTCCTCCCATAAAGCATCTCAAAGGGAGGTCGATCAATGCTCGCATGATAACTGTTTTTATATGAAAATTCTGCTAACGGAAGATACGTATCCCAACTGCCACCGAAGTCTAGGACACATGCCCGGAGCATATCCTCGAGAGTCTGAATCGTCCTCTCACTCTGCCCGTCCGTCTGAGGGTGGAAAGCGGTGCTGAAATGGAGACGAGTACCCATCTCGTCATGAAACCGCTTCCAGAATCTGGATGTAAAACGGGCGTCTCGATCTGACACCACTGATACTGGCACTCCATGACGTGCAACTACCTCCCGCACATAGATATCGGCTAACTTTTTCGCCGATATGCTCTCCTAGATCGGTATGAAATGAGCACTCTTCGTCAACCGATCCACTACCACCCAAATCGAATCTACCCCACGTGCGGTCCTGGGAAGCTTGGTGATAAAATCCATGGTATAGTCAAATAAGTAGGGTATCGAACACAGGGAGTTATCAATTGTGGTATAGTCAAATAAGTAGGGTATCGAACACAGGGAACGGCAAATTAAAAATAAAAACTAATTCTATCTAAATTAATTAATAAGTAGAGGGTTTTCTCTAGTTTTACAAGACTAGAAACTTACTAACTATTACTCAATGTAAAACTAGAAAAACAAAGAATTAACTAGATTCAATAATACAAAAGAACTTTTGTTTAGTTCAACTCAATTGATCCTATGGTTGATTTCAAGGTAATGGTGCAATGGATTAACTCTTTTGTTGGTTACCGATTCAAGTGACTAGGTTCGCATTCACTACACTAATCCTTAGTAAATAAACTAACTTAAATAGTGATTAGTTGTCTAATTCAATTTAGTTCACTAGATTAATTATTCGGATTACTTTAGACTTACAATAGTTAACCAATTTGGTGTTTAATTAACTTCTTGTTGATGGTCATCACACAAGCTCGCACATGGATTTACTGAATTTTCTTATTAATTCTAGTTTCATTTCATTAATCCTAGACATATAACAAAGTAGTCACATGGTATATGAGGTTGATAATCAAACGATGTTCATGCTATTTAATTACCTTCCTATTAACTAGAAAATTAGTTATCATTCACACACAAGGTTCTTTAGCAAGCTAAAATAGCAAAAAATCACCAACATTGAATTAATCCTACCAATAATCAAACCATAGTCTCAATTTTGTATCCCCAAACAGAAGTTAAGAGTTTTAGCTCATGATTGAAGTAAATAATAGCATAAAAACGAATTCTAATTGTCTAACCATAATGGAAAACAAAAGATTAAGTAGAATGATGAAATTTGCCTCAAATCTCCTTCGGGATTGAATTGTAGCTTCTATTTTCGTCTTCTAGGGTTTCTCTGGCCTCTGAATCGCAGCTGATTTCTCCAAAATTGTCCCAGAAGTTTTTTTCCTCGATCTGAGAAGTTATCTATATATTTACGCATCGACTCGTCGAGTCAGGTGACGACTCGTCGAGTCTGTCTCACAATCCCCGTATGCGATAAGTATCTGGGTTCCCGAGTCTTTATCTTCTCGAATCTTCACTTGGACTCGCCGAGTAGTCGACCCTACTCGCCGAGTAGGTGTTATTTTTGGTGTTTTTCTTCTTTATTCAATTCTCGAGATCCTAACTGCTTCTCCTGCTTCCTTTTGCTTCCGAGCTTCATTTTTGGACTGAAAATACAATTCAAACACTTTTAAGTACCTTTTGTCCATGAAATGCAATAATTTAGCTAATAAATGAATAAAAATCTATACTTAATACAAACTAAATATGCACATACCAGTCCTTAAACTTAATTTAGCTCTTCACTTCCAACCCCAAGGACCATAATGAAAAGGAAAATATAGAAGAGGGTTCAGAAATATCTGCCAAATCTCAGAATGTTACACCAAGATGAAAATGCCCAGAACAACCAGACTTTAGACAAAATTTCATTAATGGGTCTAAGTTGTTTCTAACTTGTTATGAATATGTTAGAATATGAGAAGAGAATAGGAAGAACGGAATGCAAAATCTTATTCATGTAGTGAGAGTTATTCCCAAATTAGGAACTCACTCTTATCTATAGCAACATACAATTCCACCAGAAAAAGACAAAGCTGTCCTTATTAGTTTAACCCATATATTAAACTAACACAACTAATTCTTTGGAGGTTGGCAACGAACTAACTTGGACCGATGTGAACAAAACTTCTCCCATTTTCCTTTTCCCAAATCATCAAACGAATGTGAATAGGAAACATTGTGTATCACCACAAAACAACAAATTAAGCATATACTCAAAACTAGTTCTTTATATTTTGTTGACGAAAACACAACATATAACATGCATATCTAAGAAATATACTCAGATTTTACATCTTAACAAGCTTTTGAACATTAATTGGATGCATATATCGTCGTGATCCACTATATATAAGATCAGCAAACACATGAGACACCATTTCTGTGGGATGGACAAGGTCCCAGAAAAGATGATCGCTTCTGTTGGTGCAATAGGTAGAAACCGGGATGCAAGGAATTTTGGCTTTCAAGTTGCCAAGTCCACAACATGCTTCTTTTGTCTCCTTAATACCTACAACAAATTCATAATCATTACTATGAGCTTCTTTAACATTTCATAAGATCAAATAATCCAAATGAAACTTTTGTATTCCTCTCGCAAGATAGTTATTATTGGATTGTACTTGATCAAATAATCTGGTAGTAAGTACCGTAATTTTGAGGATCTTGGATGAGGTCACTCATGACACCGAATATGTCAAAGTAAGTATAGTTGATATCCGATGATTCTAACTTCAACTCCTTTAGCATAATCTGTAGACCCTTGTTGTATTCCATCGAACAACTATTTGCTTTCTCCATGCATCCGTTGGTTGTGTTTTTCAACCTCTGAACCGGACAACACCCAATCGCTCCAACTCCAGTTACCACAAACTTACGTGCTCCCAACTCATACAACCTCTGTAATAATATCAACCCAAATAATATATACACACACATAATTCAAAAAGGCCAATCTTTTCTAATAGATTCCTTTCTCTCATTGTATGTAAATTTTTTAATAATTAACTGTGGTTTTAGATAAATTACCCAAAGGGATTAATTACCTTCATAAGTTGTTTAAGGGTAGAGGTCATGAGATCGACATATTGTTGTGGTGTGTATTGTCTTGGGAGTTCGGAGTTTTTGTGATAATAGGCAAAGATATCATTGCTTCCAATCACAATGAAAAATAGACACTTGGCTAAGTGGGTCCGGGCACCATCTGAGCCCAGTAGTTGAACCAATTGGTCATGAACTTCGGAGTAGTATCCTACTTGCTTTGCCAATGTAATCGATTGCTACATACATTTATAGCTTAATAATTACCGGAATAAATTAGTAGATAGTAGGTAGAAAAATGTTTTGTCTGTATCATTTATGCTATATATGTATACTTTTTCTTGAGAAATTTTTAAAAAGATTCTGGAACCAACAATCAGTATTTCGAGAATTATATATTCTTACAAAAAAAAATTTGGTTCCATTCAGGATCCCAGCACCTCCAGAAGCAAAACTAACTCCGGTAACAGTCACATTGGTGTTGGCCAACTTTTTCCCGTCCGACTCTAATGATAGATACGGTGGCGCCGTTGGTAATCCCACCTTTTCAGCTGCCAAATTGCACAAAACATATTAATTAAAAGTTCTTATAATTAACCCGCTATTTCATTTATTCTTTTTGTTGTTACCGAGAAAGTCAGCTGCATTTTTTCCGTTACTGAAACGGCCGGTGGGTTTTCCGGTTGGAAAATCCAAGCCGTTGTGAGGGAAATTAGCTTTAAGAAAGGAAAGAGGGAGGTGATTGTTGTTTCCAACGTCAACCAATGAGTCTCCTAGAATGTAAATCCCCGGAACTGAGTCACACATGCCACCGGACCCGAAAAGCAAAGCACTGAAAAACAAATATATAATGCATGTGAGATGAAATTCATTAATCGGAGTAGCCATTGGTAGTGTGTGTCGGTGGATGATCTGATTGGTGAGGGTTGAAAATGGTTTAGTAATAGTATTAATTATACAGGTTAAAAAAAAAAAAAAAAAAAAAAAAAAAAGTGAAGTATGACAAAATTCCAATTATGAGTTCAATGGTTGTGCTTTGCGGGGTGATCCAGTTGGATCGTAACTTATAAAATCAACATGTTCATCCATTTATATGCAAATACTACAAAACCAAAATATATAAGATTGTATTCTATTAATTGATAAATTAATTTGCATTAAAGAATGTCTTGGCAGGTTACCATAACTCATATATGTCTTACATATAAGTCAACCCTCATACTTGATATTAAATGAAATTAGAGTTTTAATATTACGTCTCTCCTATCTATATTAAAAATTGATTTTTTTTTCACATGTATCGGTATTATTGTTATTCATAACATATTTTCTGGTTATTTTTAATTATTATTTCTTTTTTATGTACATTTTACTTTTTTTATTTTTTTATTGCATATGTAATAGATTGTCTTTGGATTTCAAAATTTTAGTAATTGAATCATTTCCTTATAGATTTAGAGCGTGTTTGGCAAAAGTAGTTGTTAGCTGGAAGCGGATAGCGGGTAGCTGGTCGCGAATAGCGGGTAGCTAATATCGGAAAGTTGTAACTTTTATTTGTTATATAAGTGTTTGGTAAAAATAGCTGGAAGCTTTTGAAATATATAAAATTATATAAAAAGACAATTGATTAAAAATAAATAAATATATAAATATATTTTTAAGGTTAATTATGGAAATTGATTTCAAAAGTTCGGTAGCATTTTGTTAAACGCTACATGAAAGTAGCTTTTAGATTTGGAACGTTTTGTTTAAACTAAAAGTTAAACGCTCGTACAACCAAATGAATTTTTTTGTTTAAACTTGAACGATTTGTCAAAAGCTAAAAATTAGAAACTCCTAAACGCTTCAAAAAATTCCGTGCCATATATGGCCTTAGTATTTGATGCGATTTCATTATAAATTCAAATTTTTCAAAACTAAATTTGTGATTCTAGACAATTTTTTTTAAATATGACAATAATTTGTTTATTTGTATAAATAGAAACACTTACTTATTATACAACATTTTCATCGTATTTATTTTAAAAATTCACTTTAAATATGATCATTATTTATTATGATAGATTTATATATTACATATATAAATATTTTCTACTCACTATTATTTAATACTTTACACATAAAAATATTAATATTATATGACATTTTAAATTTCGAAAATTATAAAAAACCACAAAATGACATCTAGATTTAATTTTATTCAAAAAAATATATAAAATTACATATAGCAAAACTATTGAGAATTTGACAAATAATCTTTATTTATTTGGATAAGATTTAAGATTTAATATTTTATATAAGTATTTTCCACTTATAATCATATTTAATACTTTATATATATATATATATATATATATATATATATATATATATATATATATATATATATATATATATATTATAAGATATTTTAATTAATGTAAATTACAAAAAAAAATAACAAAATTACATGTGGCAAATTAAATGAGAATTTGATAAGTGTAAACAAATGATATTTATTTATTAGTGGCAAAATTCATAAGAATTTGATAAGTTTGATAAGCCATGAGAATTTGATAAGTTTCATATTAAAATTACATGTTTACATTTATCAAAATTACATGTAGATCATAATTACAAAATTAATTAAATTTTCATATTAAAAACTTAAAATAATTTAGTGGCTTAGTGGTTAACAAATATTTATCAATAATTGCATCCGTGAAGAATTAATTTGGATTTTTAAAAATGAAATCTAGTAAACCCTTTATCAACATTAAATTCTACAAAAAAAAAAAATGATTTTTTATTAAGTTAAAAAGGTTATACACCCTAAATTTAGAAGACTATTTGATTCGTTGTTAAGTTAAACCGATTTGCAGTTCTTACTCTTTAAAAATCAAGTTAAGGTTTAACATAAAATATTGTATTCGTTAAGAATTTCATATTATTTTTCCATGGGCCGTTGAAAATTATGATATGTATCTTGATATTAGAATTTAGATTTTTATATTGAAATTGAAATTGATATCGTATGAAACTCACATTTCATATATATTTATTAATTGTTCTTATGATTTTGTTAGTTATATATACCTTATAGTAACATGTACCTAAGATCAAAGTCGTTTATTTTTTTAATCAGGTAGAAAATAAATGGTCATATATATATATATATATATATATATATATATATATATAGAGAGAGAGAGAGAGAGAGTTAGGTTCATATATAACCATAACCAATATATATTGTGTGAATGTATGAACCATTATAAACCAATCATCTGATATGGGTAATTTTGAAATTTTCCATTAAATTAATTTATTATCCCAAAATAACAAATCATTAAATAAATAGATAACCAAAAATAAATCCTAAAATTTTGCAAAAATCGCATTCATATGGGATTCATCTTCTTCTTTTGTTCTCTTGCATATTAATCCTTGCTACATATAATGTTTTGGACCGTCCTTTTTGGAGTCTTTCGCTTTTACAAAGATATTTAAGTTTAGAAATCAAAGTCAATCTATCATGGTAAAATGTCAACATTTGAATGTTAATTCTCCCATCCCCACGAATTGTAAGCGTCCTTTCTAGTTGCTTTCTCAAAAGTTAAGATGCATCTCAAATTTTGATTTTCCACCAGGCATTAGTTTTGATTTTGGACTTTCCTCCCATTTCCACATTCATTGCAAGCCCTCTCGGCTAGGAAGAAGAGAAGTCATTGTTGATTTATTGATATATTATGTAAGTTTTTAATTTATGTAACTGAATAGTGAATTAAACGGAGATAGTCTTTGATTTACATATTACTTTGTCCTCCTAACTGGCAAAATAACCTATAGTTTTCAATTTTGTTAAAAACCAATTAGATTGCCTACTAGATGTTTGTCAAGTTTCCTCAACGAAGTGATGAAAAAAAAAATTATATGGGAAATTTTTTATCAATATTTTGATTTGTAAATATTTTCTTCTAAAACACATCGGTGTATAGTTCTTCTAAGAGAAAAGTACAATTAAAAATGTCAATCAATAACCTTGTATGTAGTTTTATGTTTGTGTTTGAATACAAATGTATAGGTTTCAAATCAATTTTTAGTTAAACGGTAGAAATAGGAACGACATGCAGTTCGATTATCAAAATTCATAGTAACTTTGTAGGCCAAGCTTTCATAAACCTAAGTTCTTTATTTATTTTTTTAAGCACAACAAGTGATTGATGAAATGCCACAATAAAATAACTATAAAACAATTTCTATATGAGAGATAATTATGAGCAATAGTTTAAAATTATAGTTTTATTAATTTTAATAAATCTTCAAATTTATTTTGCAGTTGTTTAAAGCTGAATGGAAGGACATGCAGTTCGACTATCAAAAGGAATTTGCTAAAGCTAATCTTTAAGAATGTCGATTGTGATAATCTTTAAGAATGCATATTGTAATATTCTCTAAGAATGCATATTGTAATATTCTCTAAGAATGCATGTTGCAATATACTTTAAGAATGCATACTATGATATATGTCAAGAAATTTTTTAGTTATATAAAACATTTGTGGTGTTTCACAGCTAGAACACTTTAATTTCTTCAAGAATTCTTCATTTGTATAATGCATGCAATATGTTAAATCATTTATAGTTCATATATTGTTCTTTAAGAATGTCATTTATATACTTGTAATTTATGTTTTCTTCTTTCATTTTCATAGAATACTCAGAATGTTAATATTAATTGTTCAATTCTTTAAGAATATTCAGATGTATGAAAATGTGTAGTGTTACAGAGCTACAAATATATTTTTTTCTTTCATCAAGTCTTTAAGAATGCTTAAATTCTCGAGACCTACAAAGTGGTCCTGGCTCCCAAACATTTATCAAGAACGTCAATGTCAATATTAACTATTCTCATCATCACACATGAATATGTCAACTTTGCAATAACAATTATTTTTATTTTGATGCAATTGTTATTATTGAAAACTATATACGCATATTCTTTAGGAATGTTAATTCTTAAACAATTACTTGACTATAGTAAAAAAAAAATTAAGAATGAAAGGACGTGTTTAATGTTATATGATCCGAAAGTGTATTTCTTTTAAAAAAGTAAAAATAATAATAATAATAATAAACAAAAATTTGTTAGCTTATATGGATTTGAAAAATAAAAAAGTGTAACTGCCTAAATAATAGTAGTTTCCTTACTTGATGTTTAACAAGAATGTCTATAATACCCTTAGGTATAAGTTTTTTTTAATAAAGCAATGTTAACATGTGATACATAACACCGTAACTATGGTATACCATAGCAATCTTAACAATTAATAATATTAATCCAATGGTCTAAATTTAGTCATAAAATCACACAATATATGTAATTCATATTTAATCATAACCCTATATATATATATATATATATATATATATATATATATATATAAGTAAGTTCAAATAAAAACAGTAAATAGTGTGGGAACGTAAAAACACTATGTTTATGGTATTATTATGTAATGAATTTTGTATATGTGTATTGTTGAAGTAATTATAATATAAATATTAACTTTCGATTAGTCATATATTCATTACAATGTTATTATTCTATTATAAACTTATGTATGTGCATTTTTGTAGTAAATTCTAATTTTAATTTTAACATTTGACTATTTATTTATTCTTTGCTGAATAATGACATAAAGTTGTCGATACATAATTCATTGCGGAATAATAACATAAAAAAGTGTTTTTACGTTCTCACACTATTTACTGTTTTTATTTGAATTGTCCTCTCTCTCTCTCTCTCTCTCTCTCTCTCTCTCTCTTTATATATATATATATATATATATATATATATATCATATCATATCATATCATACATACTTATAAAGCTAGCATTTTTTCTTGAAT